AGGTACCTGCCTCAGCTCCATGCCACTGGAGCCGAGGTGAGGCACTAGGAGATAAGCAGAGGGCATGTCACTGCTTTGTTTCGGCTCCGGTTCACCCGCGGCCCAGGTGAGCAGATGGCACAGTGCAGAGATGTCACACTGGCATCATCCTGCGGGACACGTGTGGGCGGAGCCATTGGTTGGCGAACTCGCGTGACCCGCCTCCACCAGTGGTTCCCCACCCAACCCCGGAGTACTTGTAGGCGATTTGAGCGGCACTGAGCATGCGCTGGGCGGCGCGCGGCTGGTGTGTCGTGCGTTTCGGTGGGGTGCAGCACTGAGGTGTCTCGGTTGGACGTGTGTCTCAGTAGGGCGCAGCGCTAAGGCTCGTCCCGGTGGGACGCAGCACTGAGGTTTCTCAGTAGGGCACAGCGCTGAGGTGTGTCCCAGTGGGGCGCAGCACTGAGGTGTCTCGATGGGGCGCAGTACTGAGGTGTCTCGGTGGGGCGTGTGTGTCTCAGTAGGGCGCAGCGCTGAGGTGTGTCTCGGTGGGGCGCAGCGCTGAGACGTGTTTCAGTGGGGTGTGCGTCTCAGTAGGGCACAGCGCTGAGGTGTGTCCCAGTGGGGCGCAGCGCTGAGACGTGTCTCGGTGGGGCGCAGCGCTGAGATACGTCTTGCCGGGCAGGGTGGCGCGCAGCTGCGACGAGGGCCTCGACCTGGCCGAGGAGCCGACCAGCACCACACGGCGATACGTCGACATCGCGTCCAGTGAGTGCTAGAGCCCAATGGGCAACGGCAGTTCATGTATTACGCTACGCATGGGAGAGGGGTAATAATGGAGCGTAATCGAAGCGTAACAAGGGGGTAGGGGATTTGGACAGCGTAGCGTTGCGCTCACGTATGGTGGTAGATAATGCCCAAGTATTTTTTGTGGTGTGTTCAGCCCTTGGATACCGTTGGCTTCCTCTCGTGACAACGAATACGTCTGCCTTTATATTGCAACTCCAGCTCAACTGGGGCCAAACTGACAGTACCTTTTTGGGACGTTACAGTTGACGTAGCCTAGCCAATGAGGACTTTTCGTTCAACGCAGCCAGTTCATAACTGGGTCGGGGGGGGGGGAATTGTGCAACATAATTTATGGACGGAGACGCCACGGACGGACATGCGATCTTTCATGTGTTAAGGAAGGGGGCAATAGCGAGGGGCGTGGTGTGGCATGTTCCTGTCCCCTCCTGTTGCTGTCCTGCTCGAGTACCCGTCTGTGAGTGTGTTGGGCTGATTGTTGCACGGTGAAGTAGTTGATTGCAATGTACAATCATCATTGCCAGGACCAACGCCGCAGTACGTCCTAAATAAGCAAAGTATAGTCAGTCAAGTCAGTAGAGATGAGCTCTACGTGGATTTGGCAACCTGACGGCACCGTCCTTCCATTTGCAGGAATCCTGGATGCCTGCGAGGGAACGGTTAAGGAGCAGAACGGCATGGAGACGGCGTAGTCGCGTTTGTCAGTGGTGTTGTTTCATTGTATTCTAAATGGGTCGGTTACATTATACCCAGGATGAACGAGGCTATTATGGCACTCATGTAGCGTCTAGTGACCATCGTGACACTCCTTGGGTTGAGACCAGATGGGTCGAACTATCCTCTGAATGGTTTGTGTGGGGGTTCAAGAGAGGTCGGAACGGCGACAGGCTCCTTCCGTGGTACTGTTCAGGTCGTGGTAGACTAGCCCACCAGAGCCCTGCATCGTGCGTGCCATAAGCAGACACATGTCTAAGGACTCGACCCTTGGCTGCTTGTCGCCTATCGGCTGGATGTGGTCGGATACGGCAGTCCTTCCGGGCAAGGAAAGCGGATGACTGACTCTATTAAATATATTAAATAATGTCTCACCGGTATGTCACAGGTACAGATAGTATTATTTTAAATACAGCTCATTCCACTCTGGACTGCGATGTCTCATGCGCAACCCGCGCACGTTCACCGTCGTGTATGATATAATGCAACGGCCACTGAGGACTACCTGCCAGCATCTAATACCAACGACGCAAGCCAACAATCCCACCATATAACCATAGCCTTGAAGCATGAAAGACTAGAATGCGTCACAACACCAACCCATTAAAATTCCCTGTGCCGATCCATCTCATCGCACGCTAAGGCGCCTCACCGAAACGCCACGACGTCGCGGTATGCGAGATGGCGCCTCCATCGTCTTCAGTGGCAGCCTTCTCCCCCGCGGGACCTTTTGCGCCGCCCAGCTGCGCGCCCCGCTCGGAACGGTCGTCACCGGGTGCGGAGCTCCAGCAGCAGGAAGGCCTTGAAGACTGGGGTCGGTCACATTAGCCTCGATGGCGCGCCGGCCGGCCTCGCCGCCGTCGCGGTAGTGCGCCGCCAGTCGCTCGGCGTACTCGATCCAGACGCAGTTGGCACAGCCGGACATGCAGCAGATGGTGGGTTGCTCTGGCGGCGGCGCGTCCACCGCCTCCGCCAGCGCCGACAGGTTCTCCAGCAGCTCCACACTCTCGCCAGAGGACGACTCGCCGTCAGAGGAGGTGGCAGCGTCGGAATCGCCGGAGCTGTCCGAGGGAGACGCGACAGGGGATGGTGCACTGCTTTTGGAGTGAGTGGTGATGGTGATGTAGATGTATTACAGGGTGGACCATGTCTGGTGAAATATTTCTTATCTGAGAAGCTGATTTGGCCTGGAGACACAATACGTATGGATTGAGTACAAATTGTGGGAACCCTTGTTGAAAACAACCAATTTTTTCTCACTAAGCATCTCAATGGCAATGCCATTCTATTCTTTGGAAGGGATTACTTAGCAAATGTACCAGGATAAATGAATAGCACAGCATGCAAATGAAATGCAGCTATGACAAAATTACTTTTGTGGTATGATTGACTTGATGATGATGCATCCCTACTGGTGGGTACCAGAAACACCTGGAAGCACATAACAACATTTTACCTTGCGGTGTAACATGACAGTATTCAGGGAAAGTTGAAAGTTAAATTCATGAACAAAAATGACTTCCTTAATTCACAACTTGTGTGTACAATGTGTTAGTCAGAATGGTGTTCTTGCTCACAACAATGTCTTCATTTCAATTTGATCAAATTCACACACATTTCAATGCAAAATTATGGGCGAATTAGTTGCAAAGCTTAACATCATAGTATGTAATCCATCTGGCATTGCATGTGCATACATCTTTAAGAACTTGACATTTTTCATTGGATGGTCTATGCGGGAGCTTTTTAATATGTCATGTGTAATCAGGGTCCGATAAGGAAAATCATTCCTCTATTCACAGTTAGGAAGCTATTCTATTGACAGTCGGAGAAAGGTTAGCTATACAGGCTGGAGCACTTTATAAACAGGTGGTGGGAATGAAAGGGAGGATGTTCTTTAAGTGTATGCCTGTTGCTGTGCATATGCAGAATTTTACACACAGAATCAATATCTTTCATTGAAAAATATACCAGTGCACCAAGCACATGCAGACCCTGTTGGATGGAGCAAAGTTGCAAAGACAGTTACATGGCACCTTTCCAACAATATTTGTCCATCTGGCGAACAAGCTTCAAAGCGCAACCGATTACGAGTTCGCAGCGACCCCACCTGCTAAACCCGGGCTCGCTCTTTTGAAAAAAACTGCGCAATTCACCAATCCCTTGTAGGGATTATAAGTACTGACCCTTCCATCCAACCCTACATGCACCACATAGAGCCTCGACGCCCTCACCACGAGCGTCACTACCCTTTTTTGTGATAAAGCAGCAATCGCCTCTTCTGCAGCATAGTTGCCGACTGCTTAGTTATCGGTAAATACCAAACAAATATGTAGCGACCCTACAAATACAACGTAGCTATTTATGTTGTATTTCAGTATTTTGGGTCAATATTACATATTGGGCAACTATTTAGTTTTACATCAATTTTAAATTAAATTATTTGATCTTATACGGCTTAAAATGCCGAAAATAGTTGTTTTAAAATAGACTGAATTTTATTTCATGAGCTCTTGATGAGAGATTCATGGGAGTTATGGTAAACGGTGAACCTTCATTCAGATTCACCAGTCTGCCGCTCTTGCTGCGCGGGGCGGGGCGCGTTGGGGCAGGCGTGTCAGGGGCGAGTTACAGTGCAGGGTTGTGGTACAATTTTTTATACCATTTGTGAACGTAAGTGCATGTTTTGAGTAGTATGTAGCATATCATGCCCAAAAAGTTGTGATAGCAGTCAGGATAACGGACAGTGAACGTCTTCTTTCTGTAATAATAAAATAAGCGTCATTTGCATGAAGCGTGGTTGAAGGAGCATTTGACAGAGTCTACTGCTCAGAGACATACACCCTACCCCCTATCCCAGATGCTGCAGAAGTCTATGCAGTATTTGTGGTCACCACCTTCCAAGGCTCCTCATTTGTGGAGAAACTTTGGATTGAGATGACTTGCAGGATGTGACTGCTAACTGGTTGCCTGCCTGTACAGAAGTCCCTCTAGCCAAGGTCAAATTATAGATGAGCATGGGTCATTGTTGGCATTTTATTTGCTAAGAATCTTGAAATAAGTGGTAACCATATCAAAAACTGCAGACTAACTCATGTTATGGAACACACTAGTGTGTTCTAAATTGTGTGTTGTGTCCATTATATCCCAAATATGTTACAAATGTCATGAATATAATACTCAGCTAATATACTAACTTCACATTGACAGCCTTGCTTGAGCTGTTATGTGCAAAATTCATCAAAGTAGAAACCGATGATAATACTTGTTCATTTGTCACTAGATATAGCTGGTTATGGCTTACAGTTAGCATTTCTGTGCATGACCTTAACAGCAGTCTTTTGTTTTCAGCATTGATATTTGCAAGTCATGTCCTCTGAAACTGTAAAAGAAACTGGGAATAAAAATGCTGACCAACCTTGCCAGGACAGTGCGTCACATGGTGACAGCATAGATGGTGACAAGCAGAGTTCAGTAGGCACAGACAAAGAAGATTTGGCTATGATTTGTATCCTGAAAGACATGGTGGAAAGTATAAGCCAGGTTTTTGGGAGCATATGCTGCTTCATGAGGGTGAAAACCCTGAGTGATCAGATTACTTGTGAGAAAAATGTCTTCAACTGCTTCAAGAAAAGTAAGTCTCTGCATCATTTGTGGAGAATCAACCAGTGATCTGCTGTTTAACATTCCTGAAAATGGCATGCAAACAGCTGGGATATTTTGCTTGCCGGGATTGTTTTCCTGTGTGGACAGCTCAGGCATTGGTTCAGTGAGCACAAGCTTCTGGCTGCTGCAAGGAATGATTGGTAATTGCAGATGGCTGTTGACACACTGGACTAGGTTGGGATTTGGCAGGTATTTGGGATAATGATCAATGACCATCACTGGCCATCACTGATCAGTGATCATCATCGGTACCATGAGGATAAGCATCTTGCCTGCTGAATGGGATGTTTGGCAAGCGCAGGTGACAGTGGATGCACTATGAGTGAGGCTGGGACTTTACAGGCATTTGGGATAATGAGTGGTGACTGCATTCAAGATAACAACTGAGGCAAAGAGGAATGGCATGGATAAGTCGGAGTAATCATAAGGCACAGGAGTACTGTTTGCTTCCCAGCTGGCCGGAAAGATCGACCTGGGTCTCCATCGTAGATGTGATCTCTAGCCATTATTCTAGATGCATGTCTGAGGACGTGTGATGTGCCATGCTTTGGACCCATGCTTTTAATCATGGGGTAATTAATGATGCTGGTCAGCAAAAAATCACTGGCCCGGTGAAGCCAATCATTGCAAGGCCAGTTGGACGGTTTGCGTGGGGCTTCCGTCGCTATTGACATGTCGTTTGCTGGGATTCATAAGTTGAAACAATCACACCACACTGCTATTTTTAGGGTTGCCTGTGTTTCAGGTTGAGTGTATACAACATGATTTATGAGGAAAAAATGATGCACTGGTTGTTTTTAGCACGGCCATACTGGCATGTGGGTAGACATGATTTTGATATTTGTGTGATTGTTTATTAATTGCTGTGTTTCAGGTTATGGAGTAAGACTAATGCTAGATGCCTTGAAATTGGCAGGGTGGTAAGTGTTTTCACTTTTTACAATTCTAACTTTAAATTTTATTTCCTCATGTACATCTTGATAATGTTGTATTTGGTGTTCAGGGACAACATGATTTGACATGATGCATGAGAGGTTGCCCAAGTCAAAATACTATTTGTTTTGCCTCACAGCACTATCTGCAATGCTAACTAGCCATGTTTTAGGGCAGATTAATTCTACTTTGTTTAGTATCTGACTCAGAGAGTCTGTTTGGCAATGACAACACGAACACAACAATCAGTAAGCGACCAGTAGTCATAAGGCACAGGAATGCTGTTTCTTTCCCTTCGGGCCGAAAGGATCGACATAGTTCTCCATGTACATCTCCTGCCATGATTTCAGACACATGTCTGAGGGCCTGTGGCCTGTCATGCTTTGGATCCCATGACCTCCAACATTCAGTACATGGTACCGGTGACTTTTTCTTCACAGTCCAGTGGATATGAGCAGGAATGTGTCCTGTGAGACATGTGAACACATCGTCACTGGTGGCTATGACCCTTCCACAAATCAGGTACGTGCGGCAAACCTTGCCTAACGGATTTTGCGCACATATTCATTCAACCGCACTTGCAAAGGTTGTTGATATATTACAATATACAAATAGTTAAATGCTAGTATCCTCGCTTATCAGCGTTGCCTCCATTTTTCGTCCCCCCACTGTGGCTAAGGTGATATGGCGGGCATCCTTATGCCACCAGAGCTCCTTACGTCCCGAGCCCAGCTGGTCGTCACGTGGTGCATAGTTTATAGGGCGTGCGATCTCGTTGAGTATCAGACTGTGTGGTTGGGCTTGTGCGATATGTGGGGTTTTGGAACGGATAACGACATGTTGGTTTTGACTCGGCTTTGTCTTCAGGTTAATGCCTTCCACTCGATGGTCGCAATAAACGGAGCTTATGCATGTATATATATATATATATATATATATATATATATATATATATATATATATACATATGTGCATATGTAATGAATATGTATTGTGAATATATGTATATATTATGAATATATATATATATATATATATATATATATATATATATATATATAAGCTTCATAGATAGTATGAAGCTTATGAACGGGCTGTTTGCGGCATCTAATGCTGTTTTGTGTTGTTTTTTTTACAGATTGTCGTCTGTCAAAACGTTGCCCGGAAAGAAAGCGTGGTGCAGGGAATCCTGGTGCATGAACTTATACACATGTTCGACTTTTGCACCAAAAAGGTATGAGGCTTCAAGTGAAATTGTTCGTTATGTTCTATTTCCGCGCAACATTAACCACACTGGAAACGGCGGGAGTACTGGAGTCCGTTAAAGAACAGGGGTAAGTACTGCTCTCCCCCCCTCCCCCCCTGCGATCAAATGTTGAATGCTCTGAGAAGCTTATGAATAGATTCGGACAACAGGGGTATCACTTCGTACACTTTCGGGAGGCTGAGCCCTCGCCCCCCCCCCCTCCCCCTCCCCCAATCCTGACTCGAGCCTGCTCGATGCTCCTCTGAGTCTCTCCCCCTCCCCCTGCATCAATTTATATGAGGAAAAATGGGATGTCGAGCCAATGAAATGCAGCAAGTGTCCGAACTGCTGGTACACCAGGTCCTAAACGCATCGCTATCGTTATCGTCATCATATATCATCACAACCACATCACAATCACATCATCACATCGCATCAAATTTTAAGTCGTTCCCCAACAGCAAGCAATTTTGGAACTGGCTAATATTTGTTTTCTTTTTTAATTTTGACGGCAGGGACGCAAAAAAAAGTGACCGAAATCTGGGGAGAAATCAGGATTTTAGGGAAGATTAGGTCAGTTTATTGGCGTGGCCCCTTCCCCCTCCCACCGATTTTAGAAAGTGACAACCCTGGCTGACAATATTAAATCAAGTTAAACTCGTAAGAATAGGTTAAAAGCAGGCGATGCTGGTAGACGCCATGCAAGCATAAGATATTTCGCACGTCTGGTGCGCGAAAAGCTTTTCGTAGTCGATCTGTGCATTTGTGCTCCCTCCTTCCCCATCTCCGTGGCGAAATTCTGTATACGCCGCTACTGGGAAATATTTAATGTATTTTCTGTTGCCCCCCCTCCCCTCCCTCCCTTCCCTCCCCCTTCCCCCATGGACGTTTTATGACCTCGCCGTCGAAGCGCCCATGAGCTCCATTTGCTACTTCTCTGCCCCTCCCCTCCCCGACAAACACTGCCCCCAACGACGTCTGTGACGGTGCCCACGTCTATGTCTCCTGCCTCTGTTGCAGTTTTCCTTTTTGTTTGCTGATCTGCAGTGTTGCCTTTGAATGGAAGTATCGAATATGTTGTCGTGAGACCGAAGTCACTTCCAATTTGGGACATATTTTAGTTTCTCCGTAGCGGATGCTTGCGCAACGTGGCCACCATATTTCCCCTTTTGACTTGCTCGGTGCTTCGATCATGTACCAATAAGGTGCCCTTTTACACGTCTTCGGGTTATTATATCACCTGCGAATTTCTAGGAAGAGAATTGGTGTTAAACCTTGTCACTTCGATAGTCGCTATACGTTCGTTTGAGCTAAGCAGGTCCCTGATTTGTGGTTCCAGTCATTGCGAGAGATATCTGGAGCGCCTTAGGCTACGTGGCAAACTACGCTTCATGGACACAATCTCAGATATGCGTGTGTTGCTGCAGGTAAACTTCGAGAACCTTGAGCATTTGGCGTGCACTGAGATTCGGGCTGCCAATTTGACCCACTGCAGTTACGTCAGCTCCATCTTACAAGGAGATTCCAGCCCCATCAACATCAAACAGACGCACCAGGTAAGATATGGGCTCCAAGTGAGCTACATTTTTACTGTGCACTAGAACACTAGGAGCGCTAGGGCACGGCGGCGGAGCGTATGTGTTCGTGCTCTGCAATGTGACCTTAGCCGAACAGTGGCAACGCTGGCTGAAAACGGCTACGGTTGCGAAAGTGGTTGGTGTAGTTGTACTGTATCATGTTCATGTGATTTTTTATCTTCGTAGCGCGTAATGTTACTGATGAACATGAATGTCAACAGGACTGCGTCAAGAACAAAGCGGCCTGCTCCCTGGTGGCGGCGCGCGGAATCACAAAACGCGAGGCCGTCCGCATAGTGGACCTGGTGTTTCCTAAGTGTTACGCTGACCTGGAGCCCATCGGCCGACGGGTGCGGCGTAACAGTGAGGATATCCGCAGAGCTTACTTGGAGCGGCACAAGTACGGATACGTGTGACCAACCAATCGGACTAGTCATTTATGAGGAGGTAGCCATTTTTGCATTGTTACGTGACCAAGATGCGCCGGAACCGCAGTGGACTTGTGATTGTCAATTCTCGTTGATTGCTCATTTATCGTGAGAGACAATACAAGGTTGTGCAAATTATCATGATCGTTATGTGTTGCGAAGTGAGCTTGGAAAGTTCCCATAACGAGTTTCCTTGGGCGACAAATGCCACAATTATGCTGCATGCAATTTTAATGTAATTTTAGGTAATTGTTGGTGTGTCCGACGCCTTCCATTTTAGACTGACCACCCTAGCATAAATTGGTCTAATCTAGCTATATGGCGCATGTTCTACATTGCCCATGCGAGCGAATGTAGCACGTGATCAGCAGGCCGTGAAAATATGAGCAATGCACGGATGGATTGCAGCTGAGTGGTTAAGCCCCAATAACAACGGTGGCAACGGTGGTTAACACGCTCTGTTTCAAGCTCAAGTTAGGGTGATGGATAGGTTGGCTGAATCTCCCAGTCTGCCGGTTTTTCTTTTATGAGTTACGGCTGGGAAGGGAAATATTGTTTCTGTGAGCATTTAATCTATAAGTTGATTTTCAGTGACCCGTCTTTGGAAGAGACCCAGGGATGTACGGTGGACGTGCCTTAAACGTATTGTCACGTGATCAAGTGTCTTGTTTATATTCCCCTTTCACCATTTTAGTCGCATTCAAAATCTGCGTAGATATACTGGACATTTGTATCATTAAATTCGTAGTCGAAGCATGCAAAAGAACGATCTGGAGGTGATAAAATTTGTTGTGTCATGTGTATTTGTACTGGCGGTGGAAGATACTACCACAGCAACATATCAAGTGCCTCCTATAGCTGCGCTGTCCACGCTTTCGTCTATCTCCTGATCCTCATCTACACCCTCAACTGGTTCATGAAGCCCAAATACTGCGGAGTCTGTCGGAGACGTGGCGGCAAGTTTTGTCCCCCTTCGGGCATGGCGCTCAGTCCCAACTGTCGGACCTCGCGCCGGTGCGACTGCTGCAGCCGGCCGCCCTCCCGCAGCGTGTCGCCTTGCCGCCGGCCGTGCCCCGAGCCGTTCCGCTCCAGGTCCCGCGGCTCGCTGAACTGCGGCCGCCGGTCTGGCAGGCGCGTCTCGGTCTGCAGCGTCAGGCGCTGTAAGCGGCTGGCGCGCACCACCTTCTACCCGTGACGACAAACGGGTGGGCCACGTGCCAGGGAGGCGTGGAGGAAGTCACATCGGAGGTCGATTGCGCGTATAAAATGAGCGTCTTCAAGGTTGCGTGGACCTCGTAACATTGCCGTGCCGCCATGTTATTGTATGCTAGACAGCTGTGTGGCAGAGCGTATCGTGACAGCTCGTGGACTTATGGGCAGGTAATTTTTTGAGCATGCGGATATACCTAGTACACGCTTTTAGCATCAACAGATCAGTTGATCCCTTTTCTATATAATGGTACGTAGGCAGACATGTCCCTCGGGGGCATTCGTTTGCTGATGTTAATTTATCGGCGGCGAGCGACTTAGCAAGGCTTATTGCGTCGGGATATGTACAATGTCTGTAAAGGTTCGTACGCACGGGTGTGTGAGGGCTTATGCCGACTGGGATTTAAAAAAGTGACGTCCATTTTCACGTACAATAGCATATTCGAATACAGTCTGTTGGCATTTTGTGCTGCAGTCTGCACTGTCTTGGCCGCTTCCGGAAAATCAAATGTGGTGCTTTATTCCAGTGTAATAACGGTACAGCCTCCTGACCATCGGGGAGGGGGCTCCAACCCACGGAACTTTGGAGAGAAATTGCGTCGGCAAGAATCCGCCTGGCTATATTTGGGTGCATGTTGAGCCATATTTCCCCGCGCAGGCCCGGTCCTAACTTGCTTTGCGCCACACACCCTCCCCCCCCCCTCCCCTCCCCTCCTGTGTCGGCTGATGTAATGTGCGAGCTATAAAGGAATTTTTGCAGCTCGTACAAGACAGCGCAACACCCAGACCTCCAGCCACGGAAACTCTTCCCCCCGCGCCCACTCCCTACACTCTGCTGCGTGGCACGTTTTCCATGACACTGTTTATGTCAGATTTTCTTCATACCTAGCCATCATTGTATGATGTCATAGACAACATACGACTCATCATTCCACGCGCCGTTTTGGAATGTCGCTTATACTTACTTGCATAATTTCATGGTGTGACCTGGCACGGCCAATGGTGGTCACACAGAACCATCCCCTCAATTTGTGATGCAATTTGTACCTGAGTTCTCCATGATGTTTTATAATTGGCAAAGTCGGGCATTGATATGGTATATGGTGACCTCCAGGGGTCAGAACTGGGCGCCTGCGAAAATCCGAGACCCGTGCTTGTAATCTCGGGTGTTCTCAAATTACAACGATTGTAAAAGAAATAGAAGAGGCTAGGATTTTCTAGGCTGTGTCTTTTTCTGATCAAGTCAATGAGAAATCATGCTTTCGGCGAACAGTTGATCATTTTAAGACAAAAATTTATCTCCAGGGCTATGCGCCAATGAAAAATACTATCGATACGACTCGACTTACCATTCCATGAACTGTTTGGTAATGAGTCACATATCCTGCTCACTACAAATTTCGAAGGGTTCGTCGTTTTCTGCTGAATATGATCCAAATTGAAAACGACTGATACGGAACATACTTCACCAAACGACATCTCCAACGCCCACAGCGGGGGGGGGGGGGGGTAAATCACGCTAGCGGTAGACTCGGCATCCGCTCCTACCTGCAGCAGGGGCAGAACTTCACTATTGTCCCGGTTTTTGGTTGTACGATCCCCGAAGCTGGACTCTCGGGGTAAAAGAATTGTCCTGCGTCTGAATGCATTCCAATGTTGACAAGCATTCTCGAAGAAAGGAAAACGAAAGGACTTGCGTACGCTGATGAAGGCAAGGGTGGATCCGGGAGATGGGGGCCGACTCCCCCCCCCCCGCCCCTCAAAGGTCGTGAGACCATGATTCCTCTCTCCAACGGTCCGACGTATGCTGTTATGTGCGTGCACCGGCATGTTTCCAACAGTTAATGGCATAGCTGGTTTCTCGTTCTGCCGCTGCTGGGACAGTAAAATGTGTTAACAGTCGACACACCCGCAGCCTACGGCGGTTGCGGATCTAAAATGACTTGTTCATTGCTGGCGGATGGTTAATCCGTTATGACATTGACATTTAGAGATGGGACTTAACCCGCTATTCTTTTGCCGGAATACCCCAGTGATCAGAACGCTGATGACCATGGTGCATCATTACACTCAGCCTGCCGGTCACAGATTGTTCTATTCACTGCACACAGCCGTTCCACGCACGATACAGTGACGTGAACCCACGCCACGACGCCGGGGTCATATCATGCATACACACACGCGCACACACACACATACACGCACGCACGCACGCACGCACCCACGCACACACACACACACACGCGCACACACCACGCGCACACACACACGCGCACACACACACTTCAATAACGGTCTGCCTCTCTCGCAAAAAAATAGTGCAGATCCGCCGCTGGATGGGGGTATTGGGGTGAGGTTTACGAAGGACGGGGGCATTAAATGAATGCCGGGGACCAATGAGCTTTCCTTCAAGGCACGTTTATATGGAGGGATCAAAAGTGCCTTCTGCTGTGCGTTCCTCTCCACGCAATAGCTTCGTCAAGAGTGTGGTAACGTGTCGCGATCGCAGTATGTGTGCAGGTGTGAGGTATGTGTGAGGAGTACGTGGTTGATGGCATGTCTGGTGATGGCGTGATGACGGCGAAGCGCATCAGAGTGGGGAGAGAGGGAATGCGTCGGCATCGGCACTTTCGTCTTGACGTTTCGGTCAGTGGCAGTGCCAGTTAGGCTATACGTGGCTACTTTTCCATCCCTGTTAGGATGTATGTACCGAACCCATTAGACATTTGGACACGTTACTGATGAGGGGTGGAAGAATATGCGGTGTGGAAGGTGCGCGAAGCAGGACATCAGTGCTCAGACTGGAAAGCCGAAGCAGTTGATTGTGTCAACTGTGGTCAAGGCGTGTTTTGTCGTTCTGAGGCTACTCAGTGCTTCTGACGCAGAAAGCCATCATGGGCATCAAGACGAAGGGGATGTTTTTTTAGATAGGCCCAGCGTTGAGACGTTCACATGAATGTGTTACGGACAAGCTCCGCCCGCAGATAGGCATGCAAGCACCGCAGCCAACCCGATTTTACTAAGAGGATCACATGCTAACGCGCGGTGTGTGATCCGTGAGGCCAAAAATGCATCGTATTATACTGTATTACTTCGATAAAACCACCCTCAGTAGGCCGTGGCTATTATAGTCCCGTATCTAAAGTACAGGAGGTAAGCTGGACATGCAGGTAAAAAACAAAACATGAACACACAAACACCCATTCACCGGCTACCAATAGCATAAGCGCTCAAGCAGGTGCTCTCTCACTTCGCGTGTGAAACGCTGCTGTGGCAGTTGTGTGATGCCGGCTGGCAATGCAGCGTACAATGCTGGCTCATGGTACCCAAGACGTCTCCTTCCCGGCCTCGGTTCTCGACCAAGGGAGGCCTACGAGTCTGTCCTGCCGAGCGGGTCGCGTACGTGTGTCGTGGTTTAACACACCCTTGGCCCTCAGAATAACAGGCCCACCATGCAGCATCACCTTATGAGCCAGGGTGCCACCTGAAGCTCTTCCATGTTCTGAAGCGACATCTATCGAAGTGTTCCACGCAGGTCAAAGACATGGTGAAGTCTACTCGGCCAAACATCACCGGGGCAGCAAAGCTTAAGATCTTTTGTATTCTATCAAAGTCCGTTTGTGTGTCATTGCCGTAAACTGTGAGGCAGTATCTGGCCTTCGTAAGCACCATCGCCGTCACTTGAATTTTGATGACTCGACCTAGGGAGCTGCATCATAGCACACTGAAAGTAGATTTATCCCTACGTCCGCAAATTAACTCGTCGCCGATGGGTAATGCATTATTTACTTGCCTGCGAAGGATTTTCATCATAGTTTGCTACTCAGTCACGATTATTCCGTGATGACAATGAATCTTTTCGGGCGTAAAATCTGTTCACTCTTCCTGCTTAGATGGTGTTTACTGGTAACCTGTTAAATGCCTGAAATAAAGGACTAATTGCCCGGATAATGAATTAGTGAATAGTTCGGCATGCATAATGCTTACATGTAATGCCTGATACGCTTGACTATAGTCAAGCGTATCAAGCATTAATCAGTTTACTCCCCTCGCAAAAATACGTAACTGAATGTACCGGATAGCAAAAAAGGCTTGTGCCACCATCTGTTAACGCCTTGTCAATGGCTCATAATGATCGAGCTCAGTCATGGGCACATGACAACAGCAGTCGGCGCGAACTAAAACCCCGATCCTCATCGAACTTGCAGCTGACTTCTCACAGGTGCAATTGAGATGCCTCGCGATATCAAACCTGCATCGTCACAGGTCGCGTAATTCAGAAGCTACGAGAAATCATTCACTGAAGCCTATGGTTTTTGAAATCAGCGTTTCAAGAATGCCTTCCACACACAATTTAGACGGTATCGAGACGCCCGAACATGGCAGTACGATATTAATCTGCTGCTAGGTGGACGGACGTCCGCAGCTGGGTGTTGGGTGACCAGATATGAAATGCGCGTGCATCTTACGTCATGTAATCCAAAGGAAGCCTAGCTGTGATGGACATATGCAAGCGTTCGAATGTCTGGCGTCGGCAACAAGCTTCGTTCTTGAAAGGGTGTGCTGGACGACCTCCCCCATTCATCCAAAAATTAAATATTTGGTAGCCGTAACTGCTACCATATTACGACATATCTGGAGCGTCATCGACGTTCTCGCGTGAATTTGTAAGGAAAAAACGAGTGCGTGGGAAGTGTGAAAACTGGGTTTGGCTTGTTTTTGTCGTTCGTCTTGTTTTCAGTGCTGGAGCTGTTAACGAGTAATCTGCGCTGCGGCACTGTTGGAATAAAATGTGGGTAACTTCTGGTGATCTTGTGCTTTATTATGCCGCTGACTTTCGCGTGCTGTCAGCTGTTCGCGCCAGCTCCGTGTGCGTTGCTGGATGCAACATTTGAATGTTTGCGTACCATTACCACCACTTCCATGTTGCATCATGTTTATTATCATTTGAAAGTAATTGGGTTCTTTAAGTCAATATACTTTCTGGGAATACTGTATTGCAGTGTAACAGGACTTTCTATTATTTGTGAGTTTGTGAAAGGTAGCAGAGTTGCTGAATATATGGGACAGGTCCAATTCTTCCCCAAGCAGGGCAGCCTTCTCCATTTAAGGCAGGTGCTAATGATTTGATAACCAGAGAGGAGAGCAGGTCTCAAGATTTTCCTAATAATTTACACCTGCTGACCATTAATTACCAACACCACTATGGTCAAAGTGGGTCGAAGACACTGGCTTTGCCATCCAATGTTTTGGATGTCACCTTGAAAATGCTAAATTTATATTATAAAAATATGTGCTTAACATCTTGCAATGTGAAGGACACAACCCATCATTGTAGAGCAGCAACTCTAATTGTTGACCCATCTGGTGTGGGTCTGTTTGCAGCTGTTGTATCTGCTCAGCACAAGTAGCAGAGGCTCGAGTGTGTTCTTTAACTTCACACTCGAGCAGGATTTGCTGTCAAGCTCATCATTTAATATGTGGATCTTTGGGTATAGGGGATGCGTGAGTAGCAGCATGCTGACAGACAGGCAGCATACTACTGACAGACAGGGTAATATGACAGTGATTAAGACAACTATGATAAAGTTGAGACAAATTAGGCATACTCAGCCTTCAGGTTGTGTTTGCCTGTATGAATTCTCACTCCTTTGTTTTACACATTCAACTTTCTCAATTCCAGCCTGATCTCCACCCAAGAATTTCCCGAACTTGGTCCAGATATCAATTTTGCCTCAACTCTGCTCCAATGACTTGTCATCATAATATGCCACATTTTGCGGACCAGCGTGTGTTACCATAGAAATCCATGTGTACATGTATTTCCAGCTTTGGTGTGTGTATATGTGTATTTGTGTGTGGTGGGAGGGAATGAGTGTCAAAAAGCATATGGAGTTGGGACAAAGAGAAAGATCAGGTAAGTACTTGTCATGTGAGAGCGCATCTTAGTCTTAATGTTCACTTTTACCATATCATAATAGCCATTATCATCAGCATGAATCAGCATTTCTCCTCAGGCCAGTCTTGACAGTTCAACTATCTTTGTTGTAATTCATGAAATCTTTGTTTCTAAACTCCTGTGGTGTAGTCAGGCACAGGTAGTGATAGTGTAGAAATATACTTTGAAATGACAATTGGCAGCATTGTCTTTACAAATCCCACACTTGGGTATCACAAGATTCATTGTACATATATGAGGAATAACAGTGCTTTGGCAAATATTCTATAGTACCATGTGGAGGTGTGTAATACTCAGAAAATGCTCCCCAGTGGTATCTTCCATAACTAAACATTGGTACCAAGTCAGTTGTGGATAGCCTAAGTAATTTCGACCTGTATCTGCACCTGTGTCTGGTGCGTGTGTCGCTCAGTCTGCAAAAAATCAATTGACTGGGTGGGATGGGGGTGCCGGTTGTGAAGTGGTTCACGGGTCTGAGTTAACCACCGCCGTGACGCCGTATGGCCTCAGCAGCTGAGTGCGTCATATACCCCCAAAGACACGCAGACTGGATGGTACGCCTACTCAAAATCGACTGCACTGAACCTCACTGTCATGTGTGCTGAACTCAGGCTTGCCAAATTTGTCCTGCCATTTCAAGTTGCCTTTTGTGTGCACACGTTTTTGGATCATTTTTGCCAGAAACTGCCTGTGCAACATCATATTTCTCTGAGACACTGGCTCTCTGTGTGCTCATGTTGGTAATTGGTGTCTCACTGACTGCCACGGCCATTTCGAGACTGGGATTACCCTGCCAACCACCTTTGTGCTGTGTAAATGTGAACTATGCACCTGTTTATGTTTGCACAATTACAACATTGATATTCCTGTGAAACTATTGTTGTTTATTACCTTTCCAGCTTATCATGTTATCCATAATTTTGCAGATCATTTGGCACCTTTAACCTCCCTCCTATGACACTATATCAGGGCTATTTCATATATATATTCATATATTAGGATCACAGGCATGGGGACGAAGCCAGACTCCTGGCTTTCAACCGAATCCGACGCCAAGACAATGAAATGAGGCTGAAGTCAGTGGCAAAGCCAGTGGCTGTAAAGTTTGGAACTGCGAGTCCTTACAAACTGATCAGTGTAAAATCACGAGATCGACGCCGAGGCCCCGTCCAGTGCACGACGTTTTGCGAAACCAAATGATTTTCACGTCCGCTAGAACTGCATGAGATAAAACTATATAATCAGGGTGTTTTGCAATGATTGAGACAAGTTGCTAGCATTACAGACAAAACAAAGCATTACATGGCAAAAGGCTTAATCTGACAGCAACTCTTTGAAATACCACTAAGCCAAAGAAGGAGACAGGAATAGAAAGCCTGTTCGAAGGCTTCAAGGGAGGGTCGAGCTCAAAGCCGTTTGCGAAAAAACTGCAGCTTCGTGAATCCGAAGTCAGCTATGTCCCCATGCCTGATAAATATGCAGCCAGTTAATACCTTTCCCCGTCCACCGGTTTGCAATTATGGATGGTACCGTAGTTTGTTCCGTGATTGCCTAGAGCTTTGCCATTATCTGATTTGTTATGCATTCATCTTCAAATCGCATGTCTCTCATTTACTGGGCAAGTTACATAGATGGAATGTATCGTTCAAAATTATCAATTAAGATGGCAAAACTGCAGTTGGAGACATAGGAATGTTAATGCAGAATTGAATGCCTTGGAACTTAAGTGTGACATTACTAAGACTCATTGGCTTATCACATGGTGTATCATTTCAGAAGTAATTGAAGCAAGTCATACCATTTTGCGTGCTGATGCGTCTCACTCTCCCACGCAGGTGACCAGGACATGATTGAAGTGGATCGCCAAGACTGACACTGCCTGTTCATCAATACATATTCCCATAATGGGCTTGATACTATCGCGCTTTCGGGTAAGCCGCTTTGAAACTGTGGTCAGTACATCACATTTTCTTATGGCATTGCATGTGCTTGAAGTAGCGTGAGGAAGCATGAGCCAGCTAGTCAAATGAGGGATTGTTTTTTTCTCAAACTGAGTGACATTGTTTGATGGATGCATATGAGTTAGTGCAATGAACTGAGACAGAAGTGGATGTGTGGGTCATTTGACACACGCGAGAAGACACCCCATGTCAAGTGACCCAAACACATCGTGGAATGAGAGCGGTGCATGACTCCATCCAGTTCCGCTGCTATTCACCATTAAGGTTAACTGTACGTATTGTAGGATTGGTAATCTGATGTGTGGATCTTGTGTGGAGAGGAACCAGACCTGTCCGCATCAAAGCCGCGCCCGTGCCCCGTGTGATGCCGTTCTTCCCCGGCTGGCGCAGCGCAAGGCGTCGACCATCGATGTCCTTCAGAAGATCGAGGACGACATGGGCTCCATTGCCGAGAACGAGGCGGCCGTGCGGCGCCGGCAACGCCGCCTGGCGGCTGTGGTCGTAGCCTACTCGGCCCTGCTGTACGTGATGGCCGGGCTGCTGTTCTACTACCGCTACTTCCCCGACGACGTGCTGACGCGCCTACTGTGCGCCGGCGCGCTGCTGCTCTTCCCGGCCCTGTGAGTCTCGTGTACGGAGCGCCGCCGTCGTCCGGCTCCGAACGGGGCTGGAACGTGTGGCACTAGTTGAAAGGATTCTTAGGCTGTAGTGGCTGTGCCGCCTGAATGCGGTCTTAAAGTTGTCGTGGATTAGTTCAGCTGTATTTTTGAGGAGCTGAAGATTTTAGTGAGGAAAGATAAATGGCGCCACCCTCGCGTTTATTTATGGTGAAATGTTCGTATCTAAAATAGCAATTATTGCTTTACTCAAGATGTTACCTGGATTTAGTGATTATTAACAGTTCAGGTCTTTTGGATGATATTCTAACTTCCTATCCTATTTGTAGGGTTTACTCTCTTAAGAGATTGATGACATGGTACTACGAAAGAAAAATACGTCAAAACGAAACCAGATTGGCTGCATTGAAGAAAAAGAAAGAACAGATCTTGGAGGAGGTCCAAGACAAGGAGACGTACAAGGTCGCCAAGGAGATCCTGGAGAAGTTTGCTCCTGAGCAGCTGCGCCGATCACCGGTAAGGTATTACGACCGTAGCCGAGCGGGGGGAAGGCATGTCGTTATTGGGACAACACTTCCGAGCTGCTTGACTCGTTGCCCTTTAGTTGTTACGGCCTCATTTCGAACACATTTTGTAGCTGTCGTGCTCGAACACACAACGCACGCCACCGCTGCTGTGTGACTGCAAGCCGAACTTACGAAAACGATGCGTCTGGAATATTGTCAATCGCACCAAGGCAACCAAGAGCATCACGTTTAGCCGTCCACGCCGCCGTCACAGGGGCACGCACGCTGTAAGGTCGGCCAAATTGAAATCACTTCACCACAATACCAGTGGCTCGTGAACAACGGTCTTACCACGACAGCCTTCTACACTCGACAGCCAACTGGTGGCCTGCTGCGCCTATCACATCCATTTCTTGACAGTATACTGCAAAACAAACAGGTCACTGTGCTCCTCATAAAATGCTAGGCAACCGAATGTTTTTGTGGAACCGAACTGACAGACGCACTGCACGGCCCGAGTGGCTGTGTCCCATCACCACGTCACCGGCGCTACCATCGCCACCGCCACCGGCGCAGGCACCGACGCTGCCACCAACGCTGCCGCCGACGCTGCCATCGACGCTGGCACCGACGCTGCCACCGACGCAGCGACCGACGCCGCCATCGACGCTGTCACCGACGCAGCGGCCGGCCTCGGCACCGACACTGCCACCGACGCTGCAATCGACGCTGGCATTGACGCAGCCACCGATGCAGTCACCGACGCAGCGGCCGACGCTGCCACCGACGCTGGCACTGACGCTGTCACCAACGCTGCCACCGATGCTGCCACCGACGCTGGCACTGACGCTGGCACTGACGCAGTCACCGACGCAGCGACCGACCGTGGCACCGATGCTGCCACCGACGCTGCCACCGACGCTGGCACTGACGCTGGTACTGACGCAGTCACCGACGCTGCCACCGACGCAGTCACCGACGCAGCCACCGACGCCACCGTTATCGAGGCCGCCACCGACGCCACGGCCGTCGAGACCACCTGCGACGTCGTCGCATCGACGCCATTCTCGCGGGACGCCCCAGGCTGCTGTTCCGCCACCGCTTATTCAGCCATATCAGTCAGAGCTGACTTGACGATCGCGGGCCCCCGGTGCGCCGGCTCCTCTTCGACGTTCACGCCTTCTGGTATCTCACTCGCAGCTGACTCTTCCAGCGCCGTACTCTCAGCTGCTGTCTTGGTAGGTTCGTCCGCGATTGCCTCCTGTGTCCGATCACTGGCAGACGCGGCGTGATTGGGCGGTGGCAGTTAGCCCCGGCTCACGCCTGCTCGCCGCAGTCGAGCTCTTGCCCCCCCCCCCCCCCTTCATCCGTCCTCATTTCGGTATTTGCATTGACAGGAGGATATGCTAGCAAGGGGCACGTTCTTTAGACGTGTACCATGCGCTGCTGCCCCTTTCCTTTTCGGACCCTTTAGTCTAGGGGGCGTGACTTGACCGCTTAAAGAAGACCCTCAAACTTGGACCTCAGTACACCGTTTACGCCTTTTCGTCATGTGAAGTTGTGCACCAGACCACGTCTCCTTTCCTGGAGGTGCCCTGATTGTGGTCCGTCCGGATCGCTTGCTAACAGCGCTGGCATGATTCCACGACACATCGCTTGCGACAGGCATGTTGCCATCTGCCCTGGCGTCTGGCACCTCGGCAGGAAGACTCCTATTAGCTTGCTGGAGAGGCCGGTGATGACCAGGACACGTTGGTATCCATCTTCTGTTCAGGGAGCTCAGTCACATCAGCAGCTCACTGTCGTCAGTGGGGCCTTACGCCGCGCTTAGCTGCTGGAGCTATATTGTGCTGCCTGTCTCCCGCCTCGGCAGGAAGGGCGGGCACCGAACTCTACCTACGTACCTCTGGTTTTTCATTTGTGCAGTTTAACCACTGCACGATCGGTACCCCAAGCGAGTCATGGCCGCGCCCGTGGCCTTGAACACAACATGAAATGTCGGGTTTGAACAATATGACCAATGCTTGTTTAATCAAACGTTTAACCAGCACCTCCCGTATTTTAAGCGGGTTTTAGAGGGGTTTTGTGGTATTATTGGACCTTTGTTATCCAAACATGTCTGGTGTCAGGTCTCTGTTCTTTTTCAACATCTGTTTGCAAACAGTCCCAGAATATTCTCTGTGGAACCAGAAGTATCGCATTTACTTTGCAGCGGGCGCCGTTTCAGTGCGTGTTTTGGGTTGCCGCCATGCTATGTACATAAGCCCGGTCGCGATCGGTCGGCCGCCGTACAGCCCCTGACTGGTACTGTGCGTCTGCCCTCCCCCCCCCCCCCCCCCCCCCCCTCCGCCCAGCACAGCCCCTGACTGGTGCGCTGCGTGTGCCCGCAGCTGCGCCCGGCCAGCACGCCTCTTGTGCCGCGGGGCGGTGACGCAGGTGAGAGGCGCCAATACCGCCGCCACGCCCCACCCTCCTAGCTGACTGCCCGGTCACCGGGGCCGCGGTCAGTGAGTGACGTGACAGACGTGTCACCGAGTGTCGCGCAAAGTTGTGCCTCTGTCGAAGCTTGATGTTACAGCATATCACCTCTCTGACGTCCAAGTGCGTGCGTGCGTGCGTACGTGGCATGTGGGTGTGGGGTGTGGGTGTGGGTGTGAGTGTGGGTGGGTGTTTATTTATGTATATACATGATGTATGTGTAATATGCATACATACATACATACAACATACATGTATACATACATTAATATCACATCTGATTCGGTGTGGGGCGTGTTCCGGCAGGAGGCGCCCGGCAGCGGCAGCTGGCTACATTGACGGCTCCCCGGGGCCCGCTCACCTCAACCCCGTTGGGCGCGGCCGGCCGCGGTGCGCCCCAACCCGGTCAGTGTCGCTGGCCTCGGTGGCGGCTGTGGGGCGTCGAGGAGGAGTGGTCGGCGGCGGCCCGGTCCTTGCTGTGTGACTGGGGGCTGGGTTCCCGGCGCGCCATCACTGGACACGTGACGTTGCGAGGTCGCGCGCTTGTCACATTCGCTCACAGTCGTGCACAGGCACATCTGCTTGCAGCTGTACATAAGACTCGTAGTTCGCACCTCCGGACGTTGACAGCTGAGCAAATGTCGCCTGCCATTGATCGCGTGACAAACCTGAACGCGTGCTGTGGGAGCATCTCTTTCGAGATATTACGGTTACGGGTGTTCAGCACTGGAGCTGCCACAGCTTACCACTGGCGACCTTGACCTCATGGATCTGAAGATCGCGGACAGATTTGCACGCACACCAGTTATCACCAGATGTTGGAAAGATTGTTTCGTATATTCATATGAACTAGCAATCACCAGGGGTCGTGACTGCTGATGATGCTCGGGGCCCTGGCGGCACGACTTCTCTCATGGGCCCTTCTCGGCGCTCCCTGCGGTGTTCGGAGCGGCGTGAGCGCGCGGTGCTGTCGCTCTGTGTGACGGTGACCCTGTGCCGCGCCAGGCATCGGCGCCGGCCGGTACTCGGGCCCGATGGCGCCGTCTCCGCTCGTGCCGGCCGGCCGCGGTCTGCCGCCGTCGGTGAGTACTCATCCTGCGTCTGCTGCCCAGCCGTCGCCGGCAATGGTCCACAGCTGTCGCGGGCCGGCTCTTGTGCAGGGGTGACTGCCGAATTTCACATGGGTTTCACTTGCTCAACTCGCCAAGGTGGTGACCTCAAAGTTGTGCCTGTTGGTCATCGCCCAGTCATTTTGCAAAGTGTGGTGGATAGGTGCAGGGGCATGGGTGTACCTAACTCAGGTTGGTGGCAAGGGGAGGGGGTCACTTCCTGAAGTCAGTTGGGGGGGGGGGGGCTGAGCCAATTAAGTTGACCTAACCAGTTCCCAAATCCTGACATCTCCCCGGATTTTGGCCACTTGAATTGTGTCCTGATGCCAAAATGAAATTTAAAGAAACAGTTGGATTCAAATGCCGTTTGATCTTGAAGAATGTCATCCCATTTGAAGCTGACGTGGTTGTGATGATGTTAATACATGATGATAATAATATAAATTATGGTGTGATGAGATACCGAGTGCAGCAGCAGTCCAGAGCTTACATAGTTCGCCGTCATTAGCATACAAGTGACCTCCCCGGTTGGCGGTGCCCGGGCCACGAACCCCAGTAACTTTTGGGTTGATAAGTTTTTTTTTTTGCGTTTAGAGCACATAATGAGTGTCACATAATTATGTGCACATAAATAGTGCACATAATTACACATGAGTGTAATGCACATCGATCATGGCCGAAGGCGTTCCTATTCGTAATATGGTATAAGTACACGATGTGACGTGCGTGGAGGCAGTTCCTCTGGTAGCTCAGTTGGTAGAGCGGTGGACTGTAGTGGTTACGGGCGGACATCCATAGGTCGCTGGTTCAAATCCGGCCCGGAGGACTTTTTCGGTTTGTGGCATTTTTCGTCTCCTTTGCGCATTCGTGTCGTTGAAATCCGCCCTGTAGAATTTTTGTAATTCGCGACCTTTCGGTGGTTATTTCGTTTCGTAAGTGGAATGGTTTTATTGTATCTGTAAGTGGTAGCAAAATTGGAGAGCCATTTTCGGCAAAATTCGGCGTGGATCTAACTTCTACGAGGCGTTTGCCCAGGCTCTGTCTCATCCAAGGTACATTACCATGACTAGCGGGACCTGCTCATTTTCTGTCAAGTCGAACATGATGTATGAATGGGTTCTAGAATTGTGTTGCAATGCTTGCAAGGATGTTATATAAATATTACGATTTAACCCCGTACGTCATTAGAGGAACCACTTCCTTTGTACTGAAAGTTACGGCATCGCGGCCCCTGTCATCTTGCTTGATAACACCTGAAGGGACGCACCGAAAAAATGTTTCGGTCGCAATAGATAACAAGATGCCACATAATGCGATACCTTTCTTGATGACACTTTTCTTTTCACGCGGTCATAAATCTGTACAGCTTTAACCCTATCATGTGTCTGTGAGAAACGGACAGGGGGAAAAGGAACGGTCGGGTCAGTTCCTTTGTGAGTTTCCTTACAGTGGCGTAGCCAAGAGGAGCTTTTTGGTCAATGCGAGGTAATTTTGTTAAAACCATGCTTAATAAACAAGTAAAACATGATTTTTAAACATTTTTGTGAAAATCAGTGGACCGCAATCCTCATTATCGTCTCCAGCTTACCACGAAAGCTGCCAGATTGGCGGAGTATTCGCGTAAAAAAACAGCATCGTCAGCACTCATGATGAGGTGAGATCAATGAATACAAGAAGCCAGGTCATCAGTGCACGGTGACAGCGTCATTGACCTTCGCCCCGGTTGGCGCGCAGGGCCGCGCGCTGGGCCGCCGCTGCCGCGGCCGGTGTTGCCCCGCGAGCGCGGCTACATGGACCGCATGATCGACTATCTGGTGGGCGACGGCCCGGCCAACCGGTACGCGCTCATCTGCCACCAGTGCCAGAGCCACAACGGCATGGCGCTTAAGGAGGAGTTCGAGTACCTGGGTGAGTGCCGGCCGGGGCGTCCTCCGTGGGCGTCACGCTCGCGCTGCCAGCTGGGGCCGATGTTGCGGCTCGGCCAGCGGCGAAGTTTCGTATGGTGTATTGGGGAGGGGGTCTAAGCCGTGAAATAAGATGAAACGTTCTCCAAAAATTCACTAACCGGATTTCTCCCCGGATTTGACCCACTTTTCTCTCAAAGTTTGGGTGAGGCTGGAGGGCGGGGGGGTTTCTTACTTAAATTGTGGTTGAAATGTTCCAGTTCACTTCGATATTTATGAGGATTGGTAACTAATTATTTAAGAAAAATGAGTAGAACCACACCATATTGTCAGCACTAATCTGCTGAAACCTGCCGTGGCGCAAAGTAAGGACATAACAATTGTCCATTTCTAATGTGGGTTCAGGGAAGGGCTCTACAATGCCTTGGGATGAAAAACGTAAAATGGCACCCATGTTTCATACACTGCCGTTACAACGCACTTCGTCATTTTTAACTCTGTCTTGCGTCCCATTCGTCGTTTATTCCGGACGGTGGCGTCGCAGTGCTTCTATCCCTCTGTTAGGGCTACGGGCCGCGTTACCAGGGCATCTTTGAGGGGATGTAGAGGACGAGCATGTCCCTTATCAAGTGTATTGCATGCATTCAGTCACGGGCAGATCCAGGGAGGGCCACGGCTCCTGTACTTTTGGACCTGCGTAGATGTCCAAAGGTAGAAGAATGGCGGGGCCGGCAAAATTGGTCAACCCCAGGAACTTTCACGATCACAACGGCTTGAGTGTGGTCCAGACGCAGGGGGATGACCACTTATGGCGATCCAGTATGCGTAGTGCTTCGACTTATATCCGTGCAGATAGCGAAATGTGGGGAAGGGGCGCCACCGTGCCTTTTGGGGTCTCACGTCCCATTGCGAGATCCTGGAAGCGTTAATGCCCCCCCCCCCCTCCCCCGTTCCCCCCGTCCCTGGTAACAACAGCCAGGGTCGGACCCTCCATTTAATATACTTTTGAGGAAATTTTTAATTGATATAGCTGGATAGGGGTGGGGCTTTCATATTGAAGTGATGTATCTTACCAGTGGTTGAACGAAGTGAGCTCCTCGAAAAAATATATTGGGTTCAGTTACGTACGTCGAAGATCGCTCCTTCTACTACTAACCCACGTGGTAACTATCGGCAGCCGCTAGCTCCGTACGCTGCATTGTTTCCGTAAAATCCATTCTGGCTTTGACGAGACCCCAGCGGAAGGGGGAGGGGCAATACAACTTACGAAGGAAGCTGGAAGACGACCGCGACTGAAGCCATGACGTTTTAGCACCGTGAGCCTAAGGAACAACGTTGTCGATAGTTTCTTTGTTTCTCATTCAATGACGCTAAAATGTGACCGCTGGCAACTGTAATTTTCATCTTTTTCGAGAGCACAAAACTTATTTTGGAATATTGTTTTTTAGGCTACACTCGTTCAAGGGACCATCATGTACATGGTGTGCCGTTATCATGGGCCGGCAGGTCCGTGGCGGGTGGGATCGCCGGTGGCAGTCGGGCAGAGCCGGCGCTGACCGGGCGCGCCGGGCGCTGTGTTTCAGCGTTCCGCTGCAGCTACTGCTTCGCCTGGAACCCGGCGCGCAAGCAGCGTCCGTCGGCGCCGCGTCTGCCGGCGGCGCCCACCTCCGGCGAAAGCATGGTCGAGTCGGACACCACAGGTGGGCCGACACCGCTCCGGCTGCGCCGTGGCGCTAACGCGGCTTGACCTGGCCGACGCCAGCGCGAGTCAAATACATGCAGTTAATGTTTGTCGACTATTTCCTGTAGAACGTCCACTTGATTATTTCTATACCAACTTCGTCGCTTTCGTACCAAATTCGTTAGTTTTATACCACATTCGTCGCTATGTCAGGATTGCCACATATCAGGATCTCTGTGCCATAATTGGCTATTCTTCTGTCCGAAATGTACTGGCAATAGGCCAGTGTAACCCGCGTGATATGTCGCGCCTGTGTCCTTCGCCGTCATAAAGATTGTGCGGTGTGGCCTTCAGAGACGAGTGAGAGCGAGACAGAGCCGGACGTGCCGAGCCGGCCGCGGTCGGCGTCCGGGCCGGAGCCGGCCGGCCCCGCAGCCGACCCTGCCGCGACCGATGCGGCCCAGCCCAGCGCTGGGGTTTCCGAGCCGACCAGCATCGCTTCAGCCCAGCCTAGCGCTGGACCCACCGAGCCGACCAGCACCGCTACAGCCCAGCCCAGCGCCGGCCCCGCCGAGCCGACCAGCACTGCTACAGCCCAGCCCAGCGTCGGGCCCGCCGAGCCGACCAGCACTGCTACAGCCCAGCCCAGCGCCGGGCCCGCCGAGCCGGCGAGCGCGGACAGTAACCGGCTGGGGTCGAGTTCGGCGGGGGGCGAGGCCGACCCGAGGCCGCCGTCTGACGAAGAGCCGGCACCAGAGGCGCGGGCAGACCCACCGCCGCCCGGCGAGGAGCAGAGCGGTCTGCCGTCTAGTCCAGCGGCAGACGATCAAACGCAAGGTATGGGGCGTGCAAAGCAACTTGCAATAGGTGTGTGCCGTGTTCGACGCTAAGATTGCCTTAGCTGACATTCCGCTCCTGTGCTTAGACCGTTACCTCCGTGGCCGGAGGCTGACCAGCTCGATTCCGCCTGTTGCGATTTGCTGTGATCAGTGAAGGCGGTCGGTCGCGCGATGCCATCATATGTCGGCTGTTGTGTGCGGCGCCGCTCCGCCACGCCTATCTGACCTGTGACCGCTGACCCGAGCTGACCGCCGGCAGAGCGGCGGACTCCTCCGGCGGCCTCCGTCGACACACCGCCGCTGTCACTGGCGGGCGCCGAGCACGTGCCGTTCGCCGACGATAGCGGCGCCGAGACGTGATGCCGCCGGCCGACCGGGCCGGCCGGCTGCCCACTCAGGCGGGGGTCGGGGGCGCGCCGCGGCGCCAGGCCTCAGGTGTAACGTCGGAGCCGTCTTGCCAGCGTGTTGTGCCTTAGTGGCGGCGGAGCGCGGGCGCGAGTCCGCACCGTGAGAGCGGCGCTGGACGGCATCGTCGCGTCGCGATGGCTGTGTAGAAGCCATGATGGGTCGGAGAAGCTCCGGTTCGTCCTGTGCGTCGGACGGCTCGCCGCGCCGTAGCTCCCCTTTGATGTGCGAGCCCAGGTCAAGGCGTGTCGTGCCCCGCCCCCTCTGCGATGCGGTCGTGAGGAGCTCATTAACAAGCGTCCGCTCGGTGGTTGAAATCTCAGCGGTGCTCATCTTCCTCGAGGCGTCGTGTGAAACGTATGTCGCCTGCTTGTGGCGGACGGGTATGCGTGTAATAACGGTTTGGAATGGAATAAAAGAGTTGTATTAATATGTATCCCATCGGCTTTCATCCGGTGTCTGCTCTTTGACTTTGCGTACTAGTTATCCAGCGGTGTAATTTGCAGCAGCCGGTCGAGTGCTGAGCTGAGATCGATTAGCCTGGGGCTTCCTCAAGTGCTAGACTCCTTGAATTGTGCTTTTTGGTTTGATGTGTGCATGAACATGTTTGTTTTGACATTTCAATTAGAAAATAAACAGCTTCATGTTTTTTTGGTTATATTGATAGCTCCCTGTGGTTTTTGCTGCTGTCAGTTTTATTTCGTATACTTTTGGGCCCTGTGTCGCCAATTTTTTAAACTCATGGAGATGCGTGAAAAATTGAAACAAAAAGCCCAAAGTCAATGTTTGCGGAGCCCGCGATTGTTGGTGAGTTTCGCCACTGGTTGCATGGGCTTCATTAAATTTCTATCACCGTTATGTTTTTTGGAAACACCGCTGCCGAGGCTCGGGAGCTCGAATACCACTAGCTGCGGATTGAGGGATCGAGTCACTCAATTCAATGCGAGTCCACGCCCCTCGCCCCGTGCGGATGAACGGACTGCAGAACAGCTATGCATGTAGCGTCGAATGCTGTAAATAGAACCCAATTAAAATTGTCCACCTGTTCTAGAAACAGATTATAAGCGTACTCCACATTCAGGATTCTCGGGCATGTAACTCCATAGTATCAAAGCCGCCGAATGGTATCTGCCAAGCCATAGGCCCGCAAATCAGGCGCACGAATTTTAGCCATTGTTTTCTGGCGCTCGATATCGTCAACGACGCCCGTACCGTGTGTAAGACTATCCTTCGCCGGAAGTGCACTTACACCTTTAATGTGGGGTTTCTTTAAACGCGTAGGCAAATAGCCACCGACCTGCAGCCAATGCGTAGTTTTTTTGGGACCGTGCCCTTCCGTCTCGCAGAGCTCCCGGGACTAAAGGCCTCGTAATGTTCGACAATTTAAGGCGTCCGTAGTACTTTTTAAATACAGTTAGACGCCCCGGGGACTGAAAATACTGTCCCGAACCATACGAGGTCCCCGCAATCTGCAATTCTGGCTATGCAGCCGCAAATAACATGGGCTAGGGCTCGTGGGCGTGCGTCGATTCGTGAAAGCTCATGAGGGTGTGATGCACGCGAGTTAGATTTAGTCAGCTGTCAATTTGGTTGCTCCCTGAACTGCTTTATCGGCAACCTTGTCGGAGGCCAAAACGCCCCCTTGCTTGATATGTGTCCGTTACATACCCCCATTTAGTAGGCGTTTCCCTGCTGTCTGGATTCGTGGGTGGCTAGGGATCTGCGACTGGCGTCAAAGATGAGCAAGCATTACAGATAATTAAAGGACAGAGTGACGCGACCGCGAAATATGTAAGTGCATATGCTAGCTTTGAAAAGGCGTTGATGGGGGTTACGGAGTTTGAATGTTTGACTGGGGTAGTTGAGTAAGTAGGTACCTACCTACCTTTTACATCCAAGTACCCACTCAGCAGCCCCATCCTAACTTGCTGCAGCCTTAATGGGACTTGTTCTGGGGAGAGATAGTGTGGGCATGATATGTGAAGCAGATGCCAGCTGTGAATGTCATGTGGCACCAATTTACCTGCCCCACATATACCTGATTTTCATCATACTATTTCTCTGGGAAATTTCATACAAAGGAATTGGAACAAGTAGGCATGGTCACAATTTAATTTTGCATGTCATGAATCTAGTCTGTTGTTTTACAAATATTACTGATGCCCCATCCCAGGACATTTTTGGCTCATTTGCATGAACGTGCCCACACTACTCAGTAGTGGTTTCATTTTTGGCAGCCTGGTGGGTCAGTCATGATCATAGGCTTTTTGTTAGGATGCCTGCCATAGAGGGGCAGGCATTTCATGAAATGATTGATGGGACTCAACAGCAAAACTAACCCAACGTGCCCCCAAATATGCTAACAAACAGTTGTCTCCTGGATTTTTCCCACTTTGTTGCCAAATTTTGAAGATTGAAGCCCAAGCCTGGGGGGTTGGGCCGAGCCCACCCCCTCCCCTAATTGAATAAGAAGCTACCTCCCTGTTGCCATAGGATGCATGTGTGCTGTTGCCTAGCAAAATTTCTCGGGGTGAGTAGGGCGGAGGCCAGTGCAAAGAATTCATCTGCTGCCAGCATCTACATCATCAATATGCTGAATGTAATACTACCACTGAATGAACTGAATTTGGTATAAATAAGGTTTCTCAGAGTATGTATAAGAAATTACTTTGCTCTACATCATAATTCTGTGAGATATTAGCTCCTCATCCCAAAATTGGTGTGGTGATGCACCATGCTCATGAGCTTAGATTTGTGTCAGTTATATGCTGAGATTGCTGCAGCAATTGGAGCATCTACACCTCCATGTATTTTACTATTTGTGTCAGGGGGACTGCTTTATTAACCAAGGGTGTTCACCTGGTTTGGGTCAGGTATGAAGTGCCCTGGCAGGTTCCAGAGTTTTTTGTTCAGCTATCTCTGCCCAAGCTGTCCTATCAAAAATAGTAGTGAAAGTGAAAGAAATATTTCAATATGGGATGGGATAGGAGAAGATCATGTTATTTCAGAACAGCCCAAATCAGCTTGCTATCTGTAAATTTGGTGGTGTACCTGTGTACACTGCCACTGTTCAAACTGTGCTTGATAGCAGCTGCCATCTGTGTATTTCTGAGATGCCCAAGACTCATATTCTCTGCTGGGTTCACACATTGGACATGCTGCTGGATGTATCCAACTCGCTGTTGCAGAAGATTCGATATATATTGGTGAAACATAAACACAATATGTACTGGTGAAATTAAATGACCAAAGAGTGTGCTGGAAACCAGTATAGTAGTTGTTTTTTCAGATATTGTTGAACATTTATTGGGTAGGTCATCAACTGACAATAAGTAGCAACTCAGTAGGAGGTTAAGGCTGGATGTCAAATGGAACTCGGCATCCCTTGGTAGAAAACACCAAGAAGTATTGCACAGTCTTCTTGCCTTAAGCAGTGCAATTATTTTGTTTTATTATCATGTAATTGCAATTTATTCCAGTGGAAGATTGCTTCATCTTTCACTTTGTCCACTGTTGATTTTGATTCACATTTAATACAAGGAGCAACCTTAAATAAAAGTAGATTTTTTGGTTTTTCAAGCATGGATTTTGTCTGCCTTTTCTTATTTTTCATGACACACAATGGTCCAAACTGGTGACTGATGCAAAATCACCCTGGGAGTGTCAGAACATGTAAGTGGTGTATGGCCCAAAACCAGGGTCAGATACTGACCCCCATGCTCGTGCCACCGCGTCCTGTTTTATGCTGTGGAACGAACTGCTCGTCCTGTTACATCGAGTCGCTCTGCGACGGCTTGGACAGTACGGACGGCACGGACGCGACTGGGATCTCGCGGTAAGAGAACGAACTGGCCGGTTCTGCGGTAGCTGCACGATCGGTCGGTTCGTCATTTCGAGCAGCACGTCCAGGAAGCCGTGACGCCGCAGGAACTGGCCGTAGCGCTGGCTGCTGGTGGCGGCTGGCCGCTGGGCCACGCGCACTGCAGGTACAGCGCGCGCGTCATGCGGCCAGGCGGCGGCCGCTCGTACGTCTGCTCGTACAGCACGTAGTCGTCGACGGAGAGCAGCTCGCGCACGGAGCCGGTGATGGTGCGGATGTGCTCCCAGTCGGTGATGCCCATGCGCGGCAGGTTGGACGCCGTCAGCAGGCAAAGGCAGCGCGGCCGCAGATGTTGTTGTTGAGCAGGGCGTCCACGTACTGCGACAGGCCGAGCCGGCCAAGCCACCCGCGAATCTCGCACGGACCCCAGCCTAGGCAGCGCGGCAGGCGTACGTCAGGCACGTCCATGGCGACCAGGTCGTCCACCGTCTGCGGTGCCAGTCGCCGAGCAGGGTGCGTCCCGCGCCGGCGGTGGCGCGGCGCCGGCGCCGGGGGGGCCGGGGCCGGCGTCTCCGGTGGCGGCTCCGGCAACCCGGGCTCGTATATACGGGCGTCTCCGAGTACGGCCGGAACGCTGGACTGTCGCTGGGGCCTGGCACGGCACTGTGACATCGCCTGTGGCACCCTCATTCGCTCCGCCCTCGCCCTCGCCCCCGTCCGCATCCGCGTCGCCCGGCGCGCCCGGCACGACGATGCTGAACGCGTCGTCGAGCTCGGCCGGCGCCGGGCTCGCACTCGGCTCGGGCACAGGCAGTTCGAGCGTCGGCCCTGTCATCGGGGCGACGGGCGGCACGGCGTAGCTCTCTTCTGCCGCATCGGTCGGCTCCTCCGCCGCCGGCGTGGCTTGGTCGGGCTCTGCCGCTGGCGTGTCCGGCTCAGGCTCTGCCGCTGGCGTGTCCGACTCGGGCTCTGCCGCCGACGTGTCTTGCTCGGGCTCTGCTGCTGGCGTGTCCTGCTCGGGCTCTGCCGCCGGCGTGTCCGACTCAGGCTCTGCTGCTGGCGTGTCCTGCTCGGGCTCTGCCGCGGCGTGTCCGGCTCTTGCTCCGCCGCCGGCGTGTCCTGCTCGGGCTCTGCCGCTGGCGTGCCCTGCTCAGGCTCCGCCGCCGGCGCGTCCGGTTCTTGCTCCGCCGCCGGCGTATCCTGCTCGGGCTCTACCGCGCCGGCGTGTCGGGCTCGGGCTCCGCTGCCAGTGTGTTCTGCTCGGGCTTGCCGCTGGCGTGTCCTGCTCGGGCTCCATATCGGGCGCTACTGGATCTTGGGGCGACTCACCACCACTGTGCGATTCAGCCACGGTAGCGGCGTCGTCGGTAGGCTGGTCACCGTCCTGCGGGCGATCGACAGCGGCGGCGTTCTGGAGGCGGCTCCGACTCCTCCTCGTCTCCAGGTGGCTGTGTCACTGCCGAGTCCTGGAGCCGCATGGGGTCCTGCATCATCCTCGATCGACTTTGAATCTGCCGCGTCCTGCGCAAGCTGCGGTGTTGCGTCCTCTTCGACTGTCTCGGGGTCAGCTGGGCTTTCGCTTGGCTCGGGGTCTGCCACTCCGTGCTCAATCGGCTCAGAGTGCTCAACCCCGGGTGGCTCGGACACCTTTTGGTCGCCATTCTCCCGGAGTTCTGTCTCGTCCTGGCCGTTGCTCGGGGCATCGGGATCTTGCTCAGGCTCGGTATTTGGCGTCACATTGCGACTGTTGGGCTACCGGCTCTTTTACGGAGGCGTTCGAGCTGGAGTTTGTCGCGGTGTTGGTGTCGGGCTCCCCCGCGCCGGTGTCCTCGGCGGGCTCCTCTCCGCCCATTGTGCTTGCGGCAGAGCGACTATGCAGACCGCGAATGGTGACGTCACATGGCCATGTACGGTCAGACGGATGGTTCCTGACTGTTTAAATGAGTCATCGTTTTGTTTACACTGTCGCTGCTTGGGGGGAGCAGATTTCGGTGCGTTCTTGGAGCGGTCTTAAACCACGCTGCTCGGCTCGGACTGTGAGGAAGTACGCGGCCAAAGAGGGCTTAGATCAACTTGGAGACTGTTGGTTTCGCGCAGTTGGCGCAGTTCATTGCTGTATGTTTTCCGGTATTTTTTCTTGGGTTTCCAAAGTTTTTAGCGTGGCGTTTCCATTTGTTAACACCTTTGCTTCGGTAAACTGTGTGCGGATGACAAGTCATCACATAGCTGGTGTGCATGCAAGGTAGATAACTGACACAAATGTAGATTTTGGTTCAAAGTCTCAGTGCCTGTGACAAATATCGCAAGCGTGACGGGAACGGAGTCTGGGGTAACCGGCTGCTTGATCACCCGTCTGAACCAGTTCCGTGGGCGCGCTGTTTCAGGTTCTGTGGTATTCATGCGGCATGAGCACCGAGCGGCTGCAGCAGCGTGAGCCGGCGGGCGGGGGCGGCTGGCTGTCGCCGCCAGACGGCCCGGGCCGCGCCATCGTGACTCACGCTGACGTCACGTGCGCCCACTTTCAGACCGGACTTCCGCCGCGCGGCGCAAAGATGGGCAAGTTCTTGTCGAAGATATTCGGCAACAAGGAGATCCGGATTCTGATGCTGGGCCTGGACGCCGCGGGCAAGACCAGTATCCTTTTGGGCTGCACGCGGCCGTCTGCGTCAGCAGCTGTTGGCGACATCGTCCGAGAGCTTGTCGTGTGTAGTGCTGAATTGCAAAAGTAAAGACATTGTCGATTTATCTCTGTTGGCAAGAGCCTGTCTTAGTGCTATCCAGCGCGCGCGCAGCTTGTGCAAGTGCTATCCAGCCGTTCAAGCGTTCCATTCCCTGCAGATGTTGGGGCACATTTTAGCGAATGTTTGTGCAGGACACCGAGATAAATCTTCATCGAGGTATGCTGTTGCCGTGGGCACCGCTACGTGTTTGGATATGCCATGCACGTGTATGCCATCATATCTTCCTTGACCGCCCCTGCAGCTATTTTATACAAGCTGAAACTAGGTCAATCCGTCACAACGATACCAACAGTGGGATTCAACGTAGAAACTGTATCGTACAAAAATGTTAAATTCAATGTATGGGTACGTATGTTCGTTGTCTTATGTGCGCTTAAGCATCTTAAGCATTTATGGTCAGAAAAGATGGTCGGTGGTTTCATGGAATGTGTTCAGAAGAGGTGGTCATTATTTGTGGAATTAAACCCTCAGTTCAACAGTTCGACCTCTTGTTCAAAACGTGCTTGCGCTGTATTTCCAACACGGTTTGTGCGTTTGTGTATTGATTTCCGTCGAGCTCATGAAATTATTTGCGTCAGCTATTCCATTAGTAAAAAATCACCGTCACTGATTCACTGCTTAGAACCGATCTCGCGACCTGGAGAGCTGTATTGTGAGCCGCCACGGCTCGGTCGGAAGTGACAGTGCTGCTGTGTTCTAGGCGTAGCGCTTTGCCTTAAGGAAAAGATGCTATCCGTCTCTGTGCGCCGTGCGCCGTATCGTCTCTGTGCGCCGTGTGCTCTCTGGCTCTGGCTGTGTGTGTGGAGTCAGTCTTGTTCGGGGGCTGCTCTGAGGCTCCGTGGGCTGGCTCGGGCCTCACCCCGTGGCGGCGCCCGTCGGCAGGACGTGGGCGGTCAGGACAAGATCCGGCCGCTCTGGCGACACTACTACACCGGCACGCAGGGCCTCATCTTCGTGGTGGACTGCGCCGACCGCGACCGCATCGACGAGGCCAAGCAGGAGCTGCATCGCATCATCAACGACAGAGAGATGCGCGACGCCATCATCCTGGTATTCGCCAACAAACAGGACTTGCCCGACGGTGAGTGGCGGCCGGGGCGAGGGCGGAGCCGGAGCGGGAACAGTGGCGGGGACGGGGGTGGAGCGGGAGCAGTGGTGGGGGTGGGGGCCGGGGCGGAGTCGGGGCGGGAGTGTGGTAGCGGGGATGTGGAGGGGCGAGAGGGTATGACGCCTGTGAGGAGGGAGGAGCTTGGTGTGCCGCGGCCGACCCGAACTGACCGCGGATCATAGGTACAGTGTTCACTGCTGGGTCAGTGTCGAATCGTTTTCGTCGTGGCTCTGGTATGGATGTGACGGAGTATCATGTGGCGTCATCCAGCATTGATCCACGTGTGTGTCACCCGTCTGACCACCCTGTCTGGTCCGGTCCGTGGCACCAGCCTCCGTGCCGCGTGCCGCCAACCGTCGCGCGTGCTGCCGCCTGCGTGACTCGGTCCCCTCACCGGCAGCGATGAAGCCGCACGAGATCCAGGAGAAGCTGGGTCTCACGCGCATCAACGACCGCAACTGGTACGTGCAGCCGGCGTGCGCCACCACCGGCGACGGCCTGTTCGAGGGCCTCATGTGGCTGACGTCGAACCACAAGTCGTGAGGTCCGGCCGGGCGGCGCCGCCGGCTCGCCGCTGCTGCTAGTCCCGCCGCCGCCGCCGCCGCCGCCGACCTGTTGTTATTCCTGTTGCCGGCCGGCCGACGGCCGACGGTGGACGGTGCCGGCGCCGCCTGACGCCATTCCAGCGGGCAGCCGACCGCCGGCGGGGGTCCGGCGGCGCCGCGGCGGGTGGACTGAGCCGCGCCGCTTCATATCAGGCCCTCTCTGTGGGCGGCGAGCGGGTGGGCCCGTCCGGAGAGCGCCGCTCCACCAGCCGGACGCTAGATGCCATTTGGACCCCGGATAAATCACTATATTATTTAAAGTAGCCGATAGCTTGGTGCGGTGTCCCGCGGCGTCGGGGCGCGCTAGCGATCGCACGCGATGCGATCGACGAGGCCGAGGGGCCGTGCTGTTATGAGCGCTGGACGAACGCAGTGCTGCGCATGCGCCGGTGAGGATCGTCCAGCGCGGAGCGGCGTCCAGTACGCCGCGCGCTCGAGGCGTGCGTCTGGCGTGTCTGCCTCGCGGTGCGCTGGCGAGGACGCGATGTGCCTCGCGGTCGCCCGCCTCGGAACGCTCGTCGGCCGCCGCGGTTACGAGGGTCTTCCGATCGCGATATTAACGAGCGCCCTTCTGCTGACCTTCTGCTGAGCCAATGGACGCGGGCTGGGGCCGGGAGAACGTCTGGAAACGTCGCGACGCGTTGTAAGCATGTGTACCTTGTCGACCGATCCCCGCTCATTCAGTGACGAGTTCTCATGAATAAAATGCTTGATACACTATGTGTTCGCGGTCTTTGGCATAGCCACGTAGCCCGAAAGTGACACAAGCTTACGGCGCACGTGCCGCGTCCCGGAGGAAGGGACTAAATAACCGACATATTAATTAAGCAGACACACTCGTTCTCCGAAACCTCTGATCAGATCGCTCTAAAGTCTCCAATGAATTCAGCGCGGTGAGGTGAGCAGTGGGGTGGCAATATCGTGACCTAACTCAGGGGGCTACGCTCGACAAACGCGGGGGAAACTTAACAGTCAAAGCAAACAGCTCAGATTTCAGGAACGCACTGTTACCATGCAGCTGGTCGTGACCTTGGGCCAGTGCGGACGCAGTCCTCCGGTGCTCCTCCGACCGGCGTATGACCGACGTGACCTGGACAGCTCGCTGGGCAGGGCGGTTTTTAGTGAAAATTTGTGAGTATGGTGTAAGTGATCAGCACGACTGCTGTGGACCAGAGCACCGCGGAGAGTGCATCGCAGGCGGTTTCCATTGCGACGGATGAGATGCCGTCAAGACCGAAACAGAGGCGGCAAAGTCCGGCACCCTCTGCGATCCAAAGTTTAGAGGATCAAACGAAAGGAAAGGCACCACATCCAGCGGGCAATTGCTTTACTCCGCCCCAGATTATGAACGGTGGTATTGCAATCTTTATGGGAGGTAATCGAAGGGACTATACAAAAAAGTACATACAGACAAACGTGGAAAGCAGCAGTTGACGCCAAGAGCAAAAAGCTCGCCCAAGTCGATGAGAAAAACTGATTACCTGGAATCCACACGGTTTGAAAAAGAACAAGAGGCTGGTTCACTGACCGTCACATTAATGTCGGCACGCGTCAGGAGCCGTGTAATCGACGACGGCGGTAACGGAGCATGCATTTCACTGATAACCGTGTCACTTAGTCCATCCGCAAGACGTTAAGTGGTAACCGTAACGCTTAAGTCCACAATTAAGATATCCAGGAGATGAGTTTGTCATACAACGCTGGAAAATGTCCATCGCTCTTATCATGAAGCTTGGCATAGCCTGGGCTTGAGTTGCGAGGAGAGACAAAATTGACTCGATCAGAAGCCAAAACCTGTGGGATTCAAGTTCGCGACGTACTTTGTTTGAGGGGCACTTTGGTCACGGTGGATTCGTGATCAAACCCCGCTTCTCACTGGAAGCAACTTGATCGCGTGTTATAATCCATAAATGATGCTACTTTCGTAATTAGAAATCAAACGGCAGACGATAAAAAAGTGAACGTTCAAAACTTGCGCTTACCTAATCCAGGTACTCCACGGCAAAAGGGTCATGCCGGGTCATGTTGCTAAAAAGTCCAAAGGATGCAAAATCGTGCATTTATATCCGCATAGAACCAACAAGAGTCAAGAGCTGCCCCGGAATATGAGCTTTCCTTTTAACGCACGGGTGCAGCTTCGTCTATTGCATCAGCTCTGAGCTGTAATTTTGGCTCGAGCAGTCAAGCATCTCAAGAAAACATGCGTCCGATTATCCAAGTACAAGCGATTAAGGCAACATTCGTTTAACAGGATTGCGTTCGGTCGAAAGATAAAGAAGAGAATAGGCCTGTTACAGAATTTGGCGAAACAAATTCAAACAATAACGAACTGAAAACACTGAAAGGACCTCTCCTAGAACGCGATTCTGAGGATGAAAACTTAGCGCAAAATGCTCAC